GGGGGGGAGGCAGGAATCCAGCTGCTCTGTTCCCTTGTGAACACATGTGGGAAAACAAGTTGTTGCGGGTTCTGTGTGTGCCTGTGTGCATTCCTCGTTTGAAATGGTTATTTTGAATAAAGACGCATGTCGTGAAATGTCTCTCTTTCATCGCGATGACATATTTGAGCGAAAAGCGGCCGGATACGTTGGGGTGGTTCAAAGCGACGATCACAGCGTGTCTTTGTCATTCGGGGCGGTGAGTGAACGTGGGAGGGAGGGAAGGAGGGAAGGTTGCCACCTCTTTCCTTGGGGAGTCCAGAGGCACAGAGGGACAGAGTCGCGCCGCGTGGAATCGGCGCTGGGGAGCGAGTGGTTGCTCCCAGCTCCGGGGGTGTGCGGGGCTGCTCCTCCTCCGGTGGCGGTGGCTCTCGGCCCCGGCCCCGGCCCCGGCCCCGGCCCCGGCCCCGGCCCCGGCCCCGGCCCCGGCCCCGGCCCCGGCCGGTCTCCCTGCCTTGCCAGAACACGCAAACCCTCCCCCGCCGATGCTGGAGAGACTCGGCTTTATATCTGCAGCATCAGCGAGAAAACCCGGCTCGGCGCAGACTCAGTGTGCCCCGCCGCAGTCCCGGACGGAGGAGGGGGGCTCGGGAGCTCAGCATCTTCGCAGCGGGTTAAGTAGGATTAATACCAAATCCCTATTATATTTGCCAAGCAACTTGAATTTATCAAAATTCCTCCTCGCTGCTCTGGAGCTTCGAGAGGAGGAAATTTTGCCCACAGTGTAAGATCCAGACATACCAGTACGTAGGAATACCAGCATACTGCATTACACTGGCTCCCCGCGCTAGCAATACAATCGGACCCCCAAGCTCCCGCTGTTCCCTTCCCTTTGTGCTTTTAAACGCAGCCAGGAAACTTAATGTATTCGCCAGGGGAGGGGCGGGATGAAAGCGCTTTTAACCTCCCCGCCATAAACTTTAATCGGATTCCGGGCTGTTGCCCGGCATGGACACCTCGCCTCTTGTCTGAGGCTCCTTCCCCGTTGTCTCCCATGTCTACTTCTACCACGCTCTACCTTGCGAGAGCCTCTTTTCAAGCGAATGAGTGATTTCTTTCTCTTGCCATGGGCAATGGCTCCCCCCTTCCCTTCCTACCCTCGCTGGCCTCTCTTACACACACTACGCCTTTCACATGCGGTCTGCGGCCCCC